ATTTTTCAAATTTTTAAATTTTTTGCGAATTTTCAATTTTTAAATTTTGTAAATATTTTAAAGCAATAAAAACGTACAAAAACAAATAAAAAGTTGACTTACAAAGTGGTTAAAAATGGAATTAAATTTGTAGGTAACACCAACTTTATAAATTTGTGGAATTGAAGGAAAACTTCAATAAGTGATCTCACTGCTTCTAATGTTAAAGTCGCTAAGGAATATCCGAAACCTTTACTCCAGGAAAGGTGAACTAAAAGGAAATTGACATGTGCATAGGCTTTTTACTTGAGTTAGACTGGATATACAGTCTGGTGCACAACCCCCTCACATGAAAAGAGACCACCATTAATGAAAAAATGGTAGACCCCTTATTTTGAGGGGCTTTACATCGTGGTGTCTAAAGCATGATGCACACCAAGAAACTCTCTTTTTATTTTTCCAATTGGTTTCTATACGTTGATGCTCCTTGTGGAAATTAGGATAAATGCCATTAGTGGTAAATGTACTATTCTTTTAGTACCAATTGGTACTTGGTACTTCAATTTTGTCATCACACAACTACATTGAATCGTGTAATTCCATCCACTTTCATTATTTTATTTAGAAAATGAAAATGGATGACGTGAGAATCAATAAACGACGATGTCATTTATTTCACTGAAATTGTACTTATTCCACATCATCAACAAATTGGTAATGATCATTATTTATTAACTGTCACATTAATGATTTTTCTTTAACAAAATTGGACAAAGTTACATTAGTTAAAATTAGTGATAATTACAACAAAAGCCCTAAACCTTTAAAACAGTGAAAGACTTTCCCAAACCTTTCAATCGTTGCAGTCGACACCCCTAACATTTTCAACCGTGGCATATGAAGCCCTTTTGGATGGTTTATATCCATTTTTCTGTCAATTGACCAAGAAAATAAAATTGATTTTCTTTGACTAATTAAGTAGAGGGTAAAATGGTGAATTTATAATATTACCATATAAAATAATTGAATAATTAAAATACCATAAAAAAGGAAAAGAAAAAAAATAACCCTTCTTCCGAAACCAAGCCAAAAAAGCCCACCCCCCCACTCTGTTGACCTATAGTTGACTTCATCCTCAATGTTTTGATCATAACAAACAAGATTAATATTATTTCTAATAATTTATTTTGAAAGATGACAGTTTAATGTTAAAATTAATGAAGCATTATTTATTAGACTTGAAATGAAGATCAAAGTGAAAGTTAAGCATTCAAGTCAAATCATTCGAGACGAGAGTTTAAAAGATAAACTCCAAAAAAGATCAAGATCAAAAGTATGAGAGACGGCATCAAAAAAGATCAAGATGAGAAATTTAATAGCCAAGCGCCAAATATGAAAGAAACTTCGAAGCAAGATCAAAGAATAAGCTTTCTAGATCATATGTAAATGTATAACACTTTAATCTTTAGTAATGAATGACAATAAGCTAAAAAATTATTTTGTGCACAAAAAGTCATTTTCACTATCATTTGCATAAAATATTTTAATCTAAACTAAGATTGATTTCCCAAAGTCATATTTGAACTTAGATCACAATTCTAAAGAAAAAGTCAATGGTCAACTGGATGTCCGGTTGAGCAAGTGGACGTTCGGTTACCCAACGGTCAAATTTTTTAACCGTTCTGACTTCTGATATACAACGGCTAATTTGTTGTCCGGTTCACAAGCGGACATCGGATTGGGTCGTCCGGTTGACAAGGGCAAAACTTTTCCCTTTTGATTATTATAAATGTCACTTCACTTTCATTCATCACAACAACTAGAAGAAAGCTTTTTTGTGAAAAATCTTCTTTGAGCTTATATTTTTACATTCATTTCATTTGTTTCTTCATAGGAAAAACTTTGATTATTGAATCAAACTTCTTGAATCATTTCTCTCATCAAAGTTTTTCATCTTTCTTTGTTCTTAACTTATTTATAGCAGTCTTAAAACAGATATATATTTTCGAAAAGGATCTTTATACTTATATTGTATAAATCTTTCTATTTCTTTATATTGAAAACTTTGATTGATTGAATCAAATTTGTAAAATTATCATATTCATCAAAATTTCACATTTCTCTCTTAATGCTTAATTTATTACAATCATTCATTAAAAGTGAGATATTTCTTGAGTAGATTTTTTGACCTTACTTCTTCTTCTTATTATTATTAAAATACTTTAATTGATTGAATCTAATTTTTAATTATCATATTAATAAAAAAAAATTCATTTAACATTTGAGCTATTATTTATTACTATTCATTGAAGTGTTAGTCTCTCTTAGTATATAATTTGTTTTGTATTATTTATCAAGAGATGATTTTATTGTAAAATCACTTTAATAAAGTGTGAGTCATGTTGAAATTCCTTAAAGATCAACATTATACAATGATCGGTGCTACATGTTGTAAGTCATCGTGTTAGTCATATTAAGGTCCCGTAAAACTTAACAGTGTGGATCATGTTGAGGTATCGTAAAACTCAACACTGTATAAGGATGTGTACTCATTGTTTGTAAGTAACCAGAATCATTGTAAAGAATTGGATTGCACCATAACTCAATCAATATAGTGAAAAGATCTTGCTCGTGCCGAAAAACTTGGCAATGGAGGACGTAGATAATTGTTAGAGATCAAACCTCGACAATTATATTGTTTGCATCATCTCTCCCTTTTACTTATTGCTTTATATTGCCCTTATTATTTGAATTTATCTATTTAGTCTTTACTTGCTTTCATATTTGTGTATATGTATGTAATTGTCTCATTTGCAAATATTTTGATTTATTTTAGAATTAGTTTTCGAAGAATTTTTAATAACCAATTCACCCTGGTCAGTCATTTTTGGGCTTCCATACTCCAAAATTTGCTATTTGTACACTAATTTTTGACACTTACATTGTTGTCAAATATCAATTGGATGAAAAAACTGTTTAAAATTTAAATTGTCAAATAAGATAATGACACGACGGCCCTTCACAGCTGCCACCATCCCTTAAACCACCAAACATCACCCATCAAAAATCAAACACGACAAAAAAACCAAAAAGCAAAAATCGTGGTCTCAGTCCTGTAGCTTGGAGGCAAGGCAAATTTATTAACCATCGGATTCTAAAGCTCTACCGTTTTGGACAATCAATATTTTCTCTTCATTAATTTTCAGGCTGGGGCAGGTGTTTGAAGTTTTGAAAATGTAAAATTCAAGGTCGCTGTAATTTTTAGCCTCTCAACGTTGAAGATGTAAAGTTCTTCATTATAATGGAGGTGATGGTGTTGGTGTAGGTGTAGATTGGACTATCATTAGTGGTGGTTGGATAGCTTTGGTGTAGATGAGATTATCATTGGTGGTGGTTGTGGAGGAAATGAGGGAAGAAATTGTGAGTTTTGAGTGAGTGTTGGTATTTGGATCTATTTTTGGGGCGATTGTGGCTAAACCATTACTACTGAGTGATTGAGTGTTTTTTTGAAAAATGAAAATGAGTGGAATAGTATTTTTTTTTTTTTAAAAAATGAGTGGTTGAAAAAGTAAGAAAAGCTTTTGTTTACATGTAATATTATTTTATGAAAGATTGTGTGGTTGAAAATATGAGAGAGAAAAATAAAATGTAATGAAATGTAAATTAATTGAGGCCAAACATGAGCTTTATCAGTTCCATGTTCAACAGTAATTGACACGAGAGAAATTGTCATCCCAAAAATAGTGAAATCTCGTTGCATCTTGATGAAGCCCATCTCTTGATCTAAACTCATGATTGGGCTTAGGGTTCTGCTGCAAAACTGGGGGAAGGGGGGGGGCAAGGATTAGATCCAGGGCCGAGGTGGCGCGATCTCAGCCCTGGATCTAATCCTGGGAGAAACGGCAAAATCCTTGGATCTAATGGAATTATTTAGGGAAATTTGCAAAAAATGGCGGTGAAAAAAGCAGCCGTTGATGGTGGGGTGGGGTGGGTGGATTTGAGAAGAAGAAGGTTTTTTTTTTCTTTTTATTTTGTTATTTAATTATTTAAATTCTTTAATGTTCAAAATTTAAAATTTGGTCAAAATTAATTTTTTGGATCAACTGACGACAAACCAGATGGAAACCATCCAAAATGACTTCACATACAATGGTTAAAAAGGGTAGGAGTAATAGCTGTAATGATCGAAAGATTTGGAAAAAAAAAAAACTGTTAATATTTCAAAGATTTGTGACTTTTGCTGCAATTATCGCTTAAAATTAAATTAAAGTGAAGTTACTGAATTGACCAAAATTGAGGTATGGTTATTTGATTGAAACTAATGTAAAGTATAATTACCTCGAATGAAATTTAAAATGTCAAATAGTAAAGATTACACGTATACATAGATTTTTACATTTTCCTATTTGGAATTTCACACTTTTCTTCGAAACAATAAATATAATTTTATGTCACACTTAGCTGACCTTAGTCTGTGGTCCCACAACGGCCCATATGTAGGTGCTTGTTCGGTAAGAATTTTGATAATTGATTATTTAACCGTTAAAAATAAAATGATTTCTACCTGTGAGAGAAGAATTCAAAAATGATGACTGTAATAGTGAAATGACGATCAAAAATTGATTTTAATTTGCTTTTTAGTTGTACCAAATAAGCTCTAGGTCACTCTCTGACCTGAATGAGATTCACACGTGAACCATGCAACCTGTTGTTTTCAAGGAGACTTAGATTCTCACCAAAGGCATTGCCAAAGATGCTTTAATTCTTGTTCATGAAAGAAAATGATGGCAGGCATTTGTTAGCTTGAGAGATAGGTACACTGCAGTAGTTATTCGATGTATCCGTTTGTTATTGAAACATTAACTCGTTCTTTGAGAATAAAAAATTACAGAAAATTAATGTTTGAAATGACAAATTGTCACATAAGATATCATGTAGGACGATTACTGTAGTCAATGACTACAAATAGCATTATCCTTTGAGATAATCTTAAAATCAATTAGTATTACTTGTGAAAAGAATCAATATATAAGATCTAGTCTCTTTACAACCAATCTTCATTCTATAAAGCTAGAAAAAATCTATACACAAGATCTAGCACTTTCACATTAGATTTTTCTTCTATTCTACCAGTGAAGATGAAAAAATCAGAAACAAACGAAAGAAGTCTTCTTCTCGTGTTGCATGATGAATATACATACTATGCTATGCATTGTAAGGGCCACGGGAAGCATGTTCCAAGAGATTGATCAACTGTAACTTGAATATAAATGAGCAAGGTTTTTAGCTTATGATCTTCCCAGAGATTTACCGACTGTAATTTCTCAATATTTTGAAGCTTCTCGACAATCACTGCATGGTACATGAGACGGTAGGGATTCATCTGAAAACCGTTCATCAGCATCTTATCATTTCTATTGATGATTGGCGTCCTTTGAAGGTCTATGTTGTTGGATGACTAAAACTGAACCACTAACATCATAGTCTGAAGATGCCAACAAATCCCCTACCTTACCTAGCTCAGGGCATTCTTCCCAATCACTCATACCCGTTGTTAAAATTGAGTGATCTCGACCACCCTTTCCAACAATAAACAGTGAATACATGTCTGCCATGTCCCTCAGGGCAGATGCTGTATCGGCACCATTTTCCACGTGTTTCTCTACGTATCCCACTTGACCAGTCGTTACATACCTAAAATTCACAATTAATGGCATAATGATACGAATAATAATGATTATAATTTGAAGCACTTCTAATGTTAGTATAACGCAAAGGGAAACACGCTTGTTAAGCCATTAAAATAAGATGCCTTGCCCTACCTATTGTAGAAATCGGTCAGGAAGGCACTGTCTATGTTGCTTTCTGTCTCGTGATCTGATATTGCCATCAAAACATCCTCTTTGTTCTGGGCAATATTTACCCCCATAGTTTGCCTTCTTTCAGATGTATGGAGGAACCTAATAACTGTGAGGTTTATGTGATGGTGCATTCCAAGTCTTCTACTGAATCCCAATGCCTCACGATCATCTGGTCCACCAAAAAATAAAGTTGCAATATGGTGCAATGATTCAGAACTAGATGTACGCGAACCAGCAGCTGTGAGTCCACGGTCAATGAGAATGGCAACCGAACATGAGGCGTGTCGAAGCACTTTTTGATTAGTAATCCTTATGCCCTCCTTGCCACTTTCCAGCTTTCCATCAATTCTCTGGTGTTTGTGGAAAGGAAGGATAATAATAGAAGCTCTTATCTCTTTAGCATATTCACACACATCTGCATACATGGTTGTATAGGGAGAAACAACTTTGACTTGATGAATCATCACTCCAGATTCAGCACTAAAGATATCCACTGCCTCATTGATTTCCACCACATCATTACCGCCATAATCATCATCATCACTAATTTCGTCTTCTTCTTTTTGATGATACATTAAATTGGTTTTGTTTTTCTCAGGAAGCTCGATAAGGTGCATCAAATAAGGACTTACAGAAACATTTTCAGGCCCCTTAGATGCTGCAATCAGTCCCGCCATGGTTGCCACAGATCGTGGACCATGCACACATGCTATTAGTCGCAACTCACTCTCTGGATTTTGTGATTCAAAAGCTATATGCCTATAACCTAGGATATCACTTTCTCTTTTTACCATGAAAGCTAGTAGTGGCCCCCAAATCAAAGAATTGATTACGACTGCTGCCAACATCAAATTATAGAATGTATTGCTGGACATGACCTGCATCAACCATTTCATATCTAGAATTTACGTGATCTAATAATGTGATAATCAATGTAAAGGAGGAGAAGAATTTAAGGATTCAATTCAGGATTTTAAATTGAGAAAAATATTAATATTGATGCATGGAAAGTTTGCTGAACTTGAACATGAAAGTGAAATGTTAGATTCTGCAGAAATAAGGGGAATCAAACTATTAACATAGTCACATGAAGAGATTACAGGTGACTTCAAAAAAATAAAAAATAAAAAAAATATTGGTTTACATTCTGTTCAAGTTGCAAGAAAAAAAAATTGAAATTAAAACATGATGCAATGAGATGTTGGCAGAGAACTTTTGATGTACATTTCCCCCTAATAAGCACTCTGCATCAGAAAAAAGCACTTACTTTATTCTCTAAGCCAATGGTCAAAGTCAGCAAGTCAACATGGCCCTTCAAGTTCATTAAGAAAGCAAGAAGAACCCCCTCATTTAGTGGAATCTTTAGGTGAACGCAAGCAGCAAGTGTGCCAGTAATTTTTCCACCAATGCTCAACAAGATAACTATGACAACTATGGCAAAGTTACTGAAACTGTTTATAAAAGTAACATCTGCCCTGAATCCAGAGTAGCCAAAGTAGATTGGGAGTATGAAGTTGTTAACCGAGTATGAGAGTTTAATCAAGAGCGTCCGAGCAGCTTTGCCTCCTCTAGGAAACATCGATCCAATGATTAAACAAGCTATTATGCTGCTGAAACCCATAGTTTCAAGTGCTGTAGCAGCAACAATAACAATTGCCAAAAGACCAAGGATTTCAGTGTTTTTGAGATATTTCTGATTCCTATTCCTCCGGTTCAGCCAATTGGTGACATATATATTGAGAACTATTACTGCTACAACAATAAGGAAATAGAGAATGCCCAACATGATCCATAAGAAGAAGTCGTATTTATGTTTGTTTCTTGAAATTACGATCAACAAAAATACAGCATAGACATCACCAATCAATGAGGAAGATATGGCCAACCGCCCAATATCTGAACTTGCAAACTTGAGTTCAGCAGCCAAACGAACCACAATAGGTGATGCTGTGTTAGCTAAGATCACAGCTATTGTTAAGGCCATCATGACTGCAGAACCATGTGCTCCAGTCTCTTCGTATATAAAGGAGGTAACAGCTATGGCAAAGATTGTACAAACAAAGCAGCTTCCTCCAGCAATAATGCTTGCGACACGCAAGTTGCGCTTTATATAAGGAAAATCCATCTCAAGCCCAATCAGAAACATGATAATGATTCTAGCATATAGTGCCATGGTTTCATAGTAATCTATAGCAAAATTTTGAAAGAAGAACTTTTTGACTTTATCAATATGTGACAACCCAGAGGGACCTAGCACGAACCCTGCCTGAGTTACAAAGCCAAAGCAAAATAACAGACGTGAGAGGGAAGAAAGTGTACATACAAACACGACATCTTTCATATTTTCAGAGCAGATACAATAAGTTCAGATTAATCTGGTATTATAAGGAAAGAAATGCTAGCTGAAAAGGCAGATATTAGAAAAAATAAAACCGAAATTTAAAAATAAAAATACATGATTTAGATTTTTGTATCCTGTAATCCTCATCAACGTTAAATTATAACATATTTTCACCTTTCTTTAATTTCTTAATTTTCTCTTTATTAATTAAAAATTCCTAGAATAATCTTGCATGCTTCATTCATTCATCGGTTAATTTTTTTTTCTCCACATAGACATAGCATTCATTCAAGAAAATCTGATAGAATATTCACCAATTGGTTATGCATACTTACAAGAATTTGAGCGACGGGTCCGGGTTGGCCTAAGGGCTTCAACAAAAGCTGAAAAAAGTGGGAGATCACAAGAAGGCATGAAATCTGGGTGCCCATTGTGAGAACAGGATTGAATAGTTCCCCACTAGGACAGGGCAGACGTATAGAGTCATCCATTATTTCTTCAATAGAATTCAAAGACAGAAAGATAAATCCAGAAACAGAAAAATCAAATCAAGGTATTTCAAAGGCTACCCAGATAAGCAAATCATGATTGGAAGTCGAATTAAGGGTACAAGAGGATGGTAAAAAAGCTGAAAATGGTAGCCTACCTTCCCCCAACCAGCCTCTAAGCCCTTGAACTTTCTGTACGATTTTCTCTATACTGTATTCCGCTTCTACTGTCATATGGGTTGGCCGAAAAGGGAAGAAGCCAAGAAGGTAGTGCAAATGAAAGTTTTGCTCAACTTTCCTAATTCCCATACCTTTGTTTAGCAATGGAAGACCGTGCATGACGGAAACGACACAATTTCAAAGAACATTTAGAGCATGTTTGGTTATGGCGCTAAGCTATGGAAAATGATAATTGCTTTGTTTCCAACCGTCTTTTGGCAAAATAGTAGTATTTCACTATAGTCATCAACCTTCAAAAAAGGAGTTATTAAGTCTCTAAAATTTTATTTTTGCAGTACTTGATTTGCCGTCCATTATGGATGATTAAATCCTTATTTATAGTTAACAAGTCATAATTCTGTGTGTGTCCCCTCAATTATGATTTTGATAAATTCTAATGAATTTAGTGAATTTGAATAGATTTTTATAAATTTGATAAGAATCTTATCAAATATGGTAAAATTTCAAAAGGTTTGGTTCTGTATATATCCAAGTTTGAAATATATCCAAATTTTTAAAATCATTTATTTGTTGTAAAATGTAAGTTTATTATGATTTAGATGTGAATGACAATTATACCATTGCAACCGTAAAATATTACTGTTGTATTCTTGATCTGCCATATAAATATAAGGTTTTGGTTTTTAATGAAACACACACAAATCTATTGAATTCTCTCTGTTTTCTTCTCTTTTCATTATTTTTAGGGAAAATCGCAGCAGCGGTACTAAACATTTCGTTTATTAGCAAACTTTGCCCAAACCTTCATTTTGTGCCAACCAAGGTCTCAAACCTTTCGTAAATATGTAGCTGAAGTCCAGATGGACGGAATCCATCCATTTCACCTTTAGTTGACCAAAGAACTATCTTTGACTCCAATTTGACCATATTAATAAGGGCAAAATAGTAACTTGCATATTATCCCATTAATTAAATAAGTTAAATAGATAAACCATAAATAAATAAATAATGAAAGAAAGAAAATGTGGGCATCATCTTCTTCTGCCCCCCCCCCC